TGTTGCATACACCAGAAGAGATGCTGTCGAGCTAACTATTCACTTCATGTAGACACACCAGCGAGCAAATAAATTTATTTAATTTACTTATTTAATTTATTTATTTAATTTATTTATTTAATTTATTTATTTAATTTATTTATTTATTTATTTAATTTAATTTATTTAATTAAAGTAAATAAAAAAAACAAACCATGGCTAGCTCAGCTGAAGATATTTTGCCTGATCCATCCGAGTCAAACTAACCATTCATTTTATAAACAAACACCAACTTATTTATTTTATTTATTTATTTAATTTATTTAATTAATTTAATTAAAATAAATAAAATAAATAAAAAAAACAAACCATGGCTAGCTCAGCTGAAGATATTTTGCCTGATCCATCAGAGTCAAACATGCCGAAGGCTCGTTCCAGTCGCTGCCTAGACAGCAGAGTCTTTCGATCCATAGCAACAGTAACAAACTCTGTATAAAAAACAAAAAAAAAAATAAATAAAAAACGAAAAAAATAAACAAAATAAATTAAATTACTTTCTTTTTTTTTGTTTTTCATTTATTTTTTTTGTTTTTTATTTAATGTTTTAATTGTAGTTTCGTGAAAAAAGCAGAAAAAAAATAATAAAAAAATGAAAAAATGAAAAAATAAAATAAATAAAATTAATCAATAGTATTATTCTCCCTAAACCCTAAACCCTAAACCCTAAACCCTAAACCCTTAAACCCTCGCTTTCTCTGTACAGAACTCGCTCCTCTCCTCTACCTAGGGTTTAGGGTTTAGGGTTTAGGGTTTGCCTGAGTATTCAATGAATCCATTTTTATCAAAGTCAACGGCCTCAAGGACTTGTTCAACTTCATACTACCTACTATCCCCTCTCTCCTATCTAGGGTTTACTATCTAGGGTTTAGGGTTTAGGGTTTATTAGGGTTTAGGGTTTAGGGTTTAGGGTTTAGGGTTTACCTGAGTATTCAATGAATCCATTTTTATCGAAGTCCACTGCCTCAAGGACTTGTTCAACTTCATACTACCATCTACTATCTCCTATCTACTATCTAGGGTTTAGGGTTTAGGGTTTACTATCTAGGGTTTAGGGTTTATTGTCTAGGGTTTAGGGTTTATAAATTACCTGAGTACTCAATGAATCCATTTTTATCGAAGTCCACTGCCTCAAGGACTTGTTCAACTTCATACTCCCACCCACTATCTACTGTCTAGCGTCTAGGGTTTAGGGTTTAGGGTTTACTAGGGTTTAGGGTTTAGGGTTTATATTTATATTTATATATTTATAAATTACCCGAGTATTCAATGAATCCATTTTTATCGAAGTCCACCGCCTCTAAGACTTGTTCAACTTCATACTCAATAGCACTTTTATCTACCGCGGAGACGTCCTCTCCCTTCAGCTTCAGCAGCTCCACGTAGCCCTCCATTAACTCTATAAACATAAAAAAAATATAAATATAAATAAATAAATATAAATAAATATATATATATATATATATATATATATATATATATAT